GAGATGTGTTCTCTGTTTTGGGTGTGAAGAGGTTTACGATGTAGGATGTATATATATGGGATATATATATGGGGTTTAGTTTTGCAGGGAGGTATATTGCTGGTGCCGTTCAGTTCGCACATAATCGTATATATATATAGTATACGTAGTTACGTAGGAGTATTATTACGTAGTTATGTAGTTAAAGTTATAATAGGAGTATAGTATATATATATATATACTTAGTTTACGTAGTTTTAGTATTATGGTCTTAGATAAATACGTAGGTATATTTTATGCATTAGGAGTGTGTTAGTATTATTAGAAAAGTCAAGTTTGTATTTTGTGTATTTTGATTAAAATATAACTTTTACTTCTTATGTCATATGTATAATTGGTACTTGATATGAAATGTTATTTCTTTTATCGGACCACTTTTATCAGACTAAAAATGTCACAAATGTTAATTTTTCTGTCTGGTTTACTTGTTTATTAAAATGTTGTTCTTATTACTGAAATATTTTTATCTGACTAAAACATCATAAATTTTGAAATTTTTATCTGATTAGAATGTTACCACTGTTGAATTTTTGTCTGACTCAATTAATTACAAAAATGTTATTTTTGTAATATTTTATCTGACTAAAAATTATTTTTATTTTTATTTAAAATTTTGAAGTGTCACACACACCCTCCAGGATCTCGGGCTCCAACTGAGTTCCAATGGATACCTTCTGATCGGAAGGATCGTCCAATTCTATCTCTTCGAGCTGCATTCCCAGCTCTAGTCAGGATAAGGCATCTTCCCGCCGAGTGGACTCAGCGATGTTGTTGACCCTCGTCCCCCAATCAGTCATTTTCTTCACAGCCTCCTTGTAACAGGCCCTTGCCGTATCTGGGTCCGTACGAGCTACACCCACCCCTGTCTTCGTGGGGAACTTGATGCAAGAATGCCGTACGGAGCAAATAGCCTCCAAGTCTTCCAATCCTGGTCCCCAGAATGGCATTGTGGGCACACTTCAGCCGCACCACCACAAAGGTCATGGGGATCGTTGTACGATGTTCTCCATCTCCAATCTTTACCGGCAGGACAATTGTCCCTTCGGCCTCGATGCTTTGACCGATGAAACCGGATAAGGGCGTCCGTAAGGGGGTCAATTCAGTCCTGCTCAAATGCATCTTCTCAAAAACATCCCAGTACAGGACATTGACACTACTGCCTATGTCAACCAAGACTCGTCGGATGATCCAATCCCTGATATCCATGCTAATCATCACCTCGTCCCTGTGGGCCCGTCATTTGTGGTAAGTCCGCTGGCCTGAATACAATAGGCTTGGCCTTATGCTTCTTGGGGGGAGGTACGAAGATAGAATTGATGTGGAGGGCCCTTTCGAACTTTTTCCTCTCTGTCGGGGTATCCCCGGTTTCCGCACCCCTGAAAATCATCTTGATTTCCAACTTTTTCTTGGAATCGGTCGGCCCGAGAGATGTTTCAGGCCGTTTATCCCCGTAATGGAAATCCATGTCCTTGACCTCAGCCTCCCTCCGATCATCCCAACGCCAGCTGTTGGGCTTCCTGTGAGATTGTGAGTTGCCTTGGGGTGCCCTTGCAGTGAATTCCCCGAGGTAACCTCTTTCGATGAGCTTCTGGATGGCGTACCTCAGACTGTGACAGTCATCCGTACGGGTGCCCCGGTTTCCGGTGATATTCACAATAGGCTCCCCTGTCTGTGCCCATTGTCAGCCCCTTACTGGGTACAGGCTCTCCGAGGAGCCCCTTATCCTTGATGGCCCCAAAGATTTGGCTTATGGGGTAGGCCAAATGAGCGTACCCGGCATCCCTGCTACATTCGTCCCCAAGGCCCTGCATGCCCCAAGGAACGTATTCGCCGATCGTTTTCTTCCTCTTTGGTGCTGGACAGTCCTCCGGTCCGGGACCTAGTCTGTCCGCCATTTTGCGTGTCGCATGGGTTGTCACCACATCCCGCTGAGCAATCTCCTCCTCGATTGCAGCGAATTTCTGTGCCCTTGCCAGCACCTCAATGTAGTTATTCCCGGGGTTTCTTTTCAGATCCTGGTAGAGATCCCCGGTGGTGAGTGCGTTGGTGAAGAGGGTAATACCGGTGTCTCCCGGAAGATCCTCCACCTTCAGAGTCTTGCCCCTCCACCTGATGAGAAAAATGGATAGGGATTCTCCTTTATTTTGGCGGACGTTCGTCAACCAGTTGAAATGTTTCTTCGGTGTACAGCTGGAAGCGAAATGCGCCATGAACTGTCTGGAAAGTTATTCAAAACTGTCAATGGTTCCGGGTATGAGTTGCCTGAACCATTCCTACGCCGGCCCTTTGAGGGTGCTGAAAAACAGCCTGCAGATGGCCTCATCAGACGCTCCCAGCATGGAGAGTGTTCCCTGGAAGGAAATCAAATGAGCCTTGGGGTCCCCGGCCCCGTTGTCAATCAGTGCCGTAGGGGCATGATGTCTCTGGGAATCTCCATCGCCATAATCCTAGCGTAGAAAGGAGAAGATAGCGCGATCCTGGGCTGAGCCGGGTTTGTATCCGCCCGCGGACTCAACTCATCGATCTGCCTCTGCATATTCATGAGCATAGCGTCCCGAGGGTCGGTGACTACGGGTGTGGGATTCGCCAATGCCAAGGTATCAATCCTTTGCGTGGTCCAGAAGTTGTGTTGTCCATGGACGTCACGGGCCTCCTGCCTCATGCCATCCATCAGGGGGGGTGATCCTTTGTAGCCTGATTATTGCGGGGCATCACAGGAGTGTGATCCCGATTCGTGCGCCGCTGCGCTCCTCCGAATAGCCTGGTTCCCCCGTTGCCCCCCATGTCCGGAGAGTGAATGTTCCTAACGATCTTGGTATGGACCAACTGACGAGAATCCTTGTTCTCACCAGTACACTCGCCGAGTGTCGGCATCGAACGGAGAGGAGAGAACGGTGTTCGCCCTGTGTTAGCGGAATGCACGTGTAACGCCTCGCGTTCATCCACCAAGCGGCGGATGGTGTCTGCTATCTCCCTCAAGGCATTCGGGTCCCGTCGGACTTCCTGGGGGATCAAGTCAGTGAGTACCCTGAAGTCCCCACGAGACCAAAGGCTGTTGGACTAGGCCCCTGCTGCCTGGTTGCGGGTCTTCCTGCTGTGAGCTAGCCGCGAAGAGAGGTCTTGGGAGTTTCCCGCGTTGTTGGCTGCCATCTCACTTGTTTTTAATGGTTTTTTGGAGTGATTTCTTAGCTGAGAGCTTAGTTTGAAAGAACTTTTTGATCAGTTTCCCACAGAACGGCGTCAGTGTTGAGGTTTATTTTCTTCAACCCGTAGGCCTAACACGTAACCTAAGGGTCTCGAGTGGATGATGGACACGTGAGATGAAGAGTAAACAGGGAAATGAGCCCAATAATGAGTGTTTATTCACTGGAAACGATTACAAAGCTGAAGGGCCGTTCGTACAGTGCTAGGCTATGTGCTGATACAAATGCTAGAGTGCTAGAGTGCTAAATTGCGAACCCTTTACAGTGAAATAAATGCTACTATTTATACCGCCAACGAGTGGTTGGATGTGTCGACGTAGCTGGCTATGGATGACATGATCCCAACCACCAAATCTTCTGCATCAAATGCGCTTCCCGCCAGGATCTTGGTTTCCCGCCATGGGGAGGGGACGTTCGTCATCAAGGCTTTGGCTCATGTCTCCTGCTGGGTCCTTTTCTTCTTCCAAGGAGTGGGGACATTCGTCCCTAAGCACTTGAGTTATCCTTGACCTATTCCTTGAGCTATTCTTGGCCTCGTATCAAGGGGTGGGGCCATTCGCCCTTATGTACCGTGCGGAAGTCTTGGGCCTGGATACCTGCTGATCACGGGGTAGGTGCGTCCCTTGAGACTTATCTCCCTATTGGGGGTGGGCCTCCTCCCGAACCAGCGGCAGGTATCCCCTTTTTATTGGGCTTCCAACAGGACGTTCGTAGGGAAATCTTGAGGGCCTTCTGAGGACGTTCGTCGGAAATCCCCCATTCATTGTTGGGCCGCTCGTAGGAAGCTCTCATGGGTTGGTGTACCGGCCCTTGTCGGGCCATTAACCCAACAAATTATAATCATATACCCTGTATTAGGAACTGCTCATTATTGGATTCATATATTATACTACCTCCGTCCCAAAATTAACTTCCCATTTCGAATTACGATGTTTGACCGACGATAAAGCAACTCGATCCCTGTTCATACTCAGATTACTTTTACAAAATAAAATTTACATATTCAGAAACTACATTAAAACTGCTACAAAGCCTAAGAAAAAAATGTAAATTTGATAAAAATTTGATATATAAAACATAAGATTAAGAGTATTTTAAGTTGACCGTTTGAATAGTGACTGTGAATTTAATTTTGGGACGGAGGGAGTATTGATTTTGTATTAAAGTTCATTGTTTCGAGTTTTTATCGACCCGAGTAGGGTTTATATTTTAGGGCCTATTTATGAGCCCGAACTTTTGGGTTCAATTTGTTTTTTTATTTGGGCCGATTAAAAAGAAAAAACTCGGACCATAAGCATTATTTTGGTCTGGGTTGGGTCAGGGTCAGTTTATGGGTTTCAGTTCGGGTTTTTCACACCCCCTGCGTAGAAAAGAATGAAAATATGGAAGGTAGGAAAGACGGCGGAAGAGAGGTTCGGGAAACGGATCATCCCGATATGCGGGAGATTGATCAAAAGGGATGCCATTTTAATTAATATGATGTCATTTTAGGATCAACACACCATGCGCATGGTGGGCCGATCCCACGGTATAATTTGCGCTGATGATGTGGGTGAGATGAGATTGCACAATTTGCACCTGGCTCCCAACACTAGCTTTATCCGGGGCAGATGACTGTGAGGGTAAAGGTGGGCTTCCACCCAGCCCATTTTATTTTAAGTATACGTATATGTTTAATTATCAGCCTACTCCAAAATTAATTCCCGGCCCGCCTCAAAATTTATTCGCAGCCCAATTTAAAATTAAACTTGCGCCTCTCTTATCCGAACGCTGAAGTGCTGAACGCTTATGGCCTTTGCGAAGAACGAAGAAGCGGAAGATTGGGAAGAACGAAGACGAACTCACGAGCCTGGACCCTGCGAGGAAGACGCGACAAACAGGAATAGTAGAACCGCAGACCGCAAGCTGCGTCGCCGTCCCCGTCCACTCCGGCTCTCCGCTCTCCGCCCCCCGAACCCGGTTCTGCCTGGCCGATTGGGCTCTGTCTCCAGCTCCGCTGCTCCAGCCTCCAAGTATGCTCTAACTCTAATACTTTTTTAGATTTTTAATCTATTATTTTGTGACTTTGTGTTATTTTGTATAATTATCTTTAGGGTTAGGGAATCTATTTGATTATTAATTGAATTTTTCAGTGCATAATAAAATAGTTTTTAATTCATTATAAATTTATAATGATTTAAGATATAATTAAATATTATAGAATGATTTATTTATTATACAATTGAAGATTAGAGATTGATTTACTATGTATTTATCATTTTATTGTGTGGTTATGTAAGAAAAAATTGAAAATTTGAATTGAGTTTTGAAATTGGGAACACTTATTAGGTTTATGTACAAAAATTGTTTTTTCTTGTTAGTTTCATAATTTTATAGAAGTATTTTAATCCATACCAACATTGAAAATGTTTTTTAGAATGGATAATGAATATATTGCCAAGAAAGAAAAGAAGTTGATTTCGTCATTTTTCGAAAGTGAATTGTCAAAGTGATGAAGAGAGTTGTGAACCTATCTATACCTATGATGTTGAAGACGGCACTTCGCAACAAAATGGGAGATGATTTTCTTGAAGAATTGAAGATTCATTCATGAACTACATTGAACAAAATTTTGTCAATAATATAGATGTAGATTCTATTATTGATGAATTTTATACTTTGAAGTCGCGTAGGGCACAACTTAAATGATATTTTGATGAATATTTAAAGTGTTGACGATTTGATGTATTATTATGTATGTGTTTTCAATTTTTATTTCTTAGCCCACCCCATTGTAAGTTTCTGGATCTGCCCCTGACCACACCTCCTACATGCCCCCAACTGTTTTAATTAGAAACTCGGCAGATACAACCCTAATCTTAAATTTTGCTTTATTGATTACTCTAATTTATAAAATGATCAATAAAGCAAAATCTTTATTAGGTATGATTCTTTTTAATTTCCAATATATTGGTTGTTAAGTAATGAATTAATTGGATGAATTGTGTATTAGTGGACTTGAAATTCTGAGTTGAGTGTATGGACTCATCTTTATGTTCCTTTTTAAGCTTCCAGAATATTAAAGCCATTTATCACACATTATTTTCTCATCTATCGGTCGTGTAAATTCTGAAAAATATACACGCAGCTATAAAACTATTAGGATCCAGTTTTGCCATTTATGATCATTGATTTTGATTATGTAATTATCATCATCATCATCACCCCAGTGCCGCAAAGGCTCCCACCTACGGTGGGGTAAGGGGGGGGTCGGATGTACGCAGTCTTACCCCTGTACTAAAGCACAAAGAGACTGTTTCCGAATGACCCATAGTGAAAATCACGTCGAAAAATACATGGACTCTCTGCTGCTTCACAATAAAGAAGTGCAGACAGTTTAGTGAGCCATTTTGCTTTATTCCATCATATTCTCAAGCCAAAAAATAGTGAATCTTTGGCTCCATTGCAAATGATGGAAATATTTTTATTATGTAATGCTATGTTAAAAACATACCTGCTATACTATCTGAAATATCCCATGATTTTGAGTTATTGAACGCAAATTATGCTATTGAATTCATGTTTTCAGCTACTAGCAAACTGGAATTAAAATGATTTTGGGCTTTTTGGTAGTTTAATTTAACTAGCTTCTGAGCAATGTAAGTATCAAATTAATTATCAAACTAAGCATCTATGTATTGGCTAGTGATTCTGAGCTATTTAAATCATTTCCCAATGGCGAGTTTGTTCAATGTTTTTGTCAGTGTGCGCTTTTTAAAGTTGCAGATTTTTGTCATTAGGCTACTCCTAGTTCTTCTTCTATAGCATTTGATGTTTGGAATTTCTGCATTTGAAGTTTGTCACATAACTTGCTAGGGAAATGCAGACTGGAATTTTTTAGATATGTAAATAAGTAATTGCCTTAAAAGGGAGTAACACAATGTAAAAGTGCCAAAGTAGGTCTATAGGAGTATATGTTTAAAATGTCCCATATAGGAGCCCATAATATTTCATGATATATTCCATTATATGCTTGTTCATATAATCTTGTAGTGGGACATGACTATATCAACTACCACAACTTATTCTTGTCTAATGATATTTTCCAAGCTAATAGAGAAAACCATTTGGTGATAAGTTTATATCCGTTACAAAAATCTGTTTGTTTCATGAGAACATCACAGCAGGAATAACTTTCATCATAAAATCTTATCATTATACTTTTTTTTGTAAGTCTTTAGTGTTAATTCGTTATACCTTTTTTTTATAGTGTTAATCTATTTTAGTCGATCAATTGTCCCCAAGTATTATGCCACTTATTTCAACATAGTTAGAATTGAAGTGATAATGACGGAAAAAGTAACAATACGGAAATCAATTGAATTTAGTAGTATAGATGTGATCAGTCTTGGTGATGATGCTTTAATCAGAGTTGTTTCTATGTCTACATGTGTTAATCATGCCTTATACTATCTTTAGTTTCTCCTTTCTTATCAGTGGTATGTAAAACTTGAACTTCATAGTTTTAAGCAGAATGCTCCTCGGGATTTAGCTCTCTTATGATGAAGGCCATATCATTTCCATGCAAGGTATTTATAACCTTCTTGCTTTTCTGAACCCCATCTGATTTTCATAAGTTGCATTCCTTGTTAGTTAAAGGGGTTTGCATGCATTACCGACTAGCTGCTCATGATGCACTTGTAATAACGATTGTCCCAGTAAATATAGCTCATGGTGTCATCAATGTATGTTGGACGAACTAAGTTCTTGAAGCGCGTATTTGTTATGTTTAGAAACTTAAATGATGAATTATGAATATTCTTAAGTCTTCTTTCACCATCAAGCATTTAATCCCCAAACAGCTCATTTAAAAGGGAACTACAAAGTACAAACTTTATTATGTTACAGGCATCATTTTCCCATGTTTCAAACTTGAGTGGGCAAACCCAGAATAAAACAAATGGATTGAATTTGGAGCTCTCAATTACCCAACCTGATGATTGGCATCTTCATCTCCGTGATGCTCATCTTCTCAAAGCAGTAGTCTCTCACAGGTGTGTTTGTAATACTAATTAGCACTGTTCTAAAAATCGCTCTAGGCGCCCGTCTAGGCCCTAGGCGGTGGCCAGGCTCCGCAATTTTAGTCTAGGCGTCCTGAATAATTGGTTTGGTGCCTAGGAGTTAGTTGGCCACCTTGAGCACCTAGTTGCTCGTCCAGTGGCCCTAATCGGCCACCTAGGGTGTCTAGATTCACCGAACATTTTTTTGTTTTTTGTTTTTTGTTTTTATTTTTCTATGAGATATATGTACCTTTAACTTTAACCATAGATATGAAGCAAGCTATTTGTAGATTAAGATATAAACTATATATGTTTGTAGATATTCTTAAATGTTATTGTTATTTAATTAACGAAGTATCATATAGTGAAGTTAAGTCATTTGTTATAATATATTATTAAATGCGATGATTCTATCATTCGTGCATATTAATGTGTTGTGTATATATAGACAGAGAAACACAATGTTACCTATCATATTATTTATATTTATGCAGAAATATTGATACAAATATAACATCTTTGTCTCTGACTAATACGGTAGTCCCCGCCTAGGCGCTAGGCGGCTAGATGGCACCCTACTAGCGCCTAGCGCCTTTTAGAACATTGGTAATTTAGTAATATCAACCATAAACTTCACAGAATACTAATGTACAATGTTAACCTACTCCATCTCTGCTGCACGTAGTTTAACACTTTAATATCTTAATTTTATTGGATATAGTGCATTAAACTTTGGAAGGGCAGTCATCATGCCGAATTTGAAACCTCCAATCACCACTACTGCTGCAGCTGTCGCATATCGGAATTCCATCATGAAAGCACTGGCTCCTAATTCTCATTTCATGCCGCTGATGACACTGTATTTGACAGATACAACAAGTCCTCTTGAAATCAAACAAGCCCGTGAGTTAATTGTCCTAATTGATTTGGAGTAGTTTATGTTGCCAGTGTTATATATACAAAAAATGTTTTTTATATATATTCCATCCAGTTCTGTGCTGACATGTCACAGGGCAGAGTGGGGTTGTATATGCTGTAAAGCTTTATCCCGCTGGTGCTACAACAAATTCTCAGGACGGCGTTACTGATCTTTTTGGAAAATGCATGCCAGTTCTTGAGGAAATGGTTGAGCAAGATATGCCTCTCCTGGTATAAGTCTTCCTCCTCAGCAACGTAGTCTTTTTGGGATTTCATGTAAAGGTTCAATGGTATGCCACAACTTCAGCGGATACTTTGATAAGCTATTGGACATATAATAGAGCAGATTACTTCATTATTAGGGTATGTTTAAATCTAAGAAAATTATAGGGAAATCGGGAAAAGTTACTGAATGTTAGTTTCTTGTCTTTGGTTTTGCTTTAGATAAGCATACGGAAATGAAATGTGATTATTGTCTAACCTTTTCAAAATAGCTTTAGGTAATAGATAGCTAAATAAAATAAGTGAACAAATACTGAAAATAAACTTATTGAGTTTGAACCAATGTTTTATTATATCCTCCACATTCTTTTCCTTCCAAGTTTCTCATATAGTATCCTCCCTGTTTTCTTTCTATAGCATTTTCCGAGATCCAAATGAATTCTTTAGCTATAAGAGATGTTTACTGCAGGTCCATGGAGAGGTAACGAGCCCTGAGGTCGATGTATTTGATCGAGAAAAGGTATTTATTGAAGCAGTTTTAGGGCCTTTGGTGCAAAGGCTTCCACAGTTGAAGATTGTGATGGAGCACATCACCACATTGGATGCTGTGAATTTTGTAGAATCTTGTCGAGAAGGTATTATCACTGAAATTTCCCCTTTTCCCACTTTACTGTCAATAGCTATTGCTCAAGTTTGACTTGTTTTGTATTTGTTTATAGGATATGTTGCAGCTACCATCACTCCACAACATCTTGTTCTGAATAGGAATTCTTTGTTTCAAGGCGGGTTGCAGCCACACAATTACTGCCTTCCTGTACTTAAAAGAGAGATCCACAGTATGTCATCCCAACAATGTGTTGATTAGAAAGCTTTTATTTTATTTTCTACTCTTTAAGAGTATGTTTGGACTTTGGATTGCGCAAAATGCCAGCTCAAGGAAGCAAATTGCTAAGGAAAGTTAGGACCTGTTCATTTAGACATGAGTTTTCTAGTCTGGTGTGAATTGGTGCAGTACTCTAGTGTGTTTGTGTCATGTAGGGTTTGGTTTGTTTATATCTAGCCTTGTCTTGTACTCTTGTTTGTTCTGGTTTGGTATGATATACCTCTGTCCCCAAAACATTGCCATCTTGTAAAGTTTGGACCATGATTTTGATTAGTATAATACTATGGAAGTTATAGATTTTATACTTTTATGAAAGTACTTTTAACAAAGAACATTTGCATGTATTCTTTATATTATAAATAATTTTCAATAAAAATATATAGTTGTTTACATAGTTTAATGAAATGTTTGTAGCATTAAGAGAGTGTTTTCTTCGGTGATTGTTTTACTTTTTGGTACTGTACACTTTCTGAAGGTATAATGTAGCAGCTTTTTTTAAATGACCATTTTCAAAAGGGAAATGAGGCAGTAGCTTGAAACAGCACTAACAAGAAAGTATGACTAGTAATACAGACCAGGGAGTGTCATTTGTTGTTGTATGATCTGGTTTGATTTGTTTAAGTCTGTGGTATGAAATGATCTGTTTAAGTCTTGTTTGATTGATATGAGACTGAAATAAGTCCAAGGGAATATGGACCTTATCTTCTTATGTTTTCCAAAAGAAAGATGAATAATTTATGCAAACTTCTGGCTGTATTTAGATTTCTTCGTCTATGTAGTTAGTAGTTGTAATACACTCAAATGAAAAAATTAGTACAAAGAAATATTTAAAACAGTTTTTTTAGTTTCATTACATCTTTATCCCCCCCACACATTTTCTTTTCTTCCAGTTTCTTCTATTTGTTTCCTCATTCCCCCCTTTAGTCATTGTTCCAACAGACTGAACATGCTTTCCGCTAATGTGTGTGCACGCTTTTAATACAGGACAAGCTATTGTGTCAGCTGTGACAAGTGGCAGTAGAAAATTTTTTGTTGGGACTGATAGCGCTCCACATGATAGACGGAAGAAAGAATCTCAATGTGGTTGTGCTGGTATTTACAATGCTCCTGTAGCCTTATCTGTGTATACAAAGGTTTTTGAGGAGGTTAGAATTTCTAGTGCCATTGTGTGTTTAAGTTCGAATTAATTCCACTTTACTCCCACCACTATAAGGACATTCGTTTGGTCTTCGTTTGGTCTTCGTTTTTCAGTTTTGGTGCCACAACCACAGTTTTTGCCATTTATGGTCCTTCCGACAAATTATCAGCTCAGTTTTTATACAATTTTCGGTTGCTTTTCACTGAAAAGTGGTCGGAAGGATCATAAGTGATACAAATCTATAGTTGTGGAACCAAAAGTGGGGAATAATGAAAGTTAATGATTAAATTTAGGAATTTCTGGACTAAAAATGGAATTAGTTATTTACATTTGACATAGCCATATTGATGGGTTTTCCTCCTTCAGGCTGGTGCGCTTGACAAGCTAGAAGCATTTACTAGCTTTAATGGACCTGATTTTTATGGGCTCCCTAGAAACTCAAGAAAGATTAAACTGACTAAAGCCCCGTGGAAGGTACCGGAGTCGTATTCTTACGCTTTAGGGGATGTTGTTCCCATGTTTGCTGGCGAAACATTGGAGTGGCAAGTACTGTCCATATGATGTTGTTGTAGTAACACATCATAAATAAAATACACATTCCTGTACTGGACAGATGAAATGAATTTTGGTTTAAAACGCACACCAATGTTTTGTTATTGTTGTTGCCTTTGGTTAACGAGAATACGATGCTTTACATCACTGTTCCTTTTGGGATATTTTCTGACGTAAATGTGTTTGAATGCGAAAGGGGGCAAATAAGCTCCCAACTTTTTATGATTCTGCAATTAGGCCTTAAAGTTTTAAATTTTAACCCACCTTACAAAGAGAGACCACAACTGATTAAAAAACAGCAATTCGTCAATTTTCACTTCAGTGAAAAATACTCATCAGATGGATTGGATTAATTTGAAGGCTTCTCAGATCGGTAACGTTCATCAAGACCTTTAGCGTTGTTTCTTTCTTCCTTGTATGCATATGATTTCCTTCTTCCCTTTGTATATACCTGATATGTTCGAATATTGTGAGAAAATGCATTTTTTGAGGGAGCGGTCTAGCTGAGATGCTTGCCGACTCACTCTCCCTTGTGGGAGGTTTCGGGTTAGAAACTCCATGGAGATTGTTTGAGCCATGTTTACCTCCGTCTCCCAAGCTATGCATGGATTTGGGTCGGGCGTGGGTCAGGTCGGGCATGGGCTTGGTTTGTACCAGTACTGGTTTCGGTCCGGGCTGTCTAGCCGGCCCTGTTTTTGTTTTTTGTTTTTTTGAGATTAAAGTGATTTTTTTTTGAATTTGTAACTGTTAGCCATTAGGCCCTAACCAGGCCTGGTCAGGCCGGTCCACCAAAATGCAAGCTGAGTCCTGTCCTGTAAATCCGCCGTTCCGGATACCGGGTTGGTATCGGTTCCGGGCCCAGGTACCAAGTCGGTACTGGTCCCAATCAACGGGGCTCGGGCCGGTACAAATAGTACTGGTCCCGGGTTGGGTCAGCATGTCCGACTCCATCCCTACCCCTAGCCCCTGACCCCCGGAGTAAAAAAAAAAGAAAATAGAAAATGGAGAAGAAAAGAAAAAAACTGAACGAAGTGCAAAAAAAAAGATCTATCCAAGAAAGAACAAATGACATTAACATAAATGAGGTCTCAAATTAATATGTAAAAGCAGTAGCATATCTTGTGACAATGTGACATTTCCATTAGGCCTTTTTGAAGCATTAAGCCTCACTGAAAGCTCCAACCTACCATTTAGAAAAAAACCAGCTTACCTTACCATTTTGAAATGCAGTATATGCAATTTCATCACTATCAGAAATTCAAAAATCTGTTATTATGCATCATCTGCAATTCTAAAGCAAATTGTTCTATAATTTTTTTTAGTTGATTACTAGCTCATTTTACATGTATTAAATAAAAACCCAGCTTACCTTAGTGTACCCTCAGTCCCTCATGAATTAACATGTTTGAAAAACTCATTTCATCCATCCTGCCTGAGCTATTGCTATCTAATACAGTACTCCGTACTACAATAAACTCTCACATGACATTGAAAGGTTTAATAAAAAGCTTGTGACATGTTGACATTCTTAGGAGACCTCGAAACAAATCACAAATAACATACCCAAGTCCCAAAACACTTGACATTATATTGAATAAACTTTCCAAAAGCACTCATTATGAGTTTAAAAAATCAGTAGCCATAGCCAGTGCCGGAGCCAGAAAAATGGCCCAGAGGGTCGAAAATCAACTATATACAAAATAAAACGATGTATCGTTTTTAGACAATGTCTGAGTTGAATGTTTCACACGAAGTATGTAGTTTAGATAAATATGCACTCGTAGCAATAATATATTATCTTTGCTCTGTCTCTAGTCATGTCACGTAAGTAATAAGTTAATTATATGCTATTTTTAAAATTTGGGAAAATAATCAACATTACGCATCAAATTTTGATGATTTTACGTTTAGATAGTGCCGATCTTGCAGAAGCCATAACTTCTAACTCGTAATGAGTTACGGGGGTCATTATATATCAAATCGAAAGTATTTCAGAGTTCTATACTCTTACGTTTTTCAGTGTAGTCGGTTGACCACCCAAACCCCCTGACTCCGCCCCTGGCCATAACAAACCAAGTTAACCAGGTTTTCAACAACTCCGGCCTCACTAACTTCAAACCACAAAACAGACTAATGTTCTTTAATTTTCACTATAGACTGATTTGTTAAGGTCATAAAACATTTTGTTTTACAAAAAACTCAATAAGAGAGAATTCTTACCAATGGTCACAACATATAAAAGTCCAGAATGGGTACTCTTGTGGCGCAATAATCAGAGGATGGGATCAAATTAAAATCTTTAATTCAGAGGCTCATGGGAAAAAAGAAAAGAAAATACCAATTAACAAAAAAGCTGTTAAGGGGTATTACTGAAGTGAATATTCCAAGCAAAGTGGACTAAACACATGAAACTTTGAATTTTGAAACATAACCTTGTCTAAATCTGTATGTAAATGAAGCAGAATCTAAATCGATATAGGGTTCACTGTGCAATTTTATAAATTTATAAAGTTGTTTATCTTGCAATAAACATTTTTTTAATAAAAAGATGAGTTGAACTAAATTACCAATGAGATGTGGAGATGCACACAAAAGCTAGCTCCCCCAAATCAAAATTGATACGTAGTATTCCTTAACAAAATTGATGGTCTCTAGTCTCTACCAGTCACCCGGCCTCCATAAACAAAAAAAAAAATTGGCCATTTTATTCTTATTTTTCTAAAAACAACAAATTCACCCAACATCATGTTCTTCCCAATATACTTTATTCTCTTCCTTTTCTGTATTTTCTAATAAAAATGTTCATATTTGCAAATCTAATCACAACTAACTTTTATTTTCCTAATTCAACTTTTCTTTCTCTTTTACATCTATTGGAATGATCTTGTTTAAAAACAATTTGGTAGTGGGGATCACATCAAACTTTTACAAATAAAAATTATATTTTACTTTTTCCAGATCGTTAGCCACACTCGGTTGCGAGTTTTTTGTCCCCATGCTACTGACGTGTTTGCTAGTTTTTCATCCCCGAAGGCCCCCTAAAACCGACCAGACAATTTATGAGAGATGTAAATTGAGCTTTGATCATACTCTTATGGAAAGAGAGTGAGTTTCCACCCCAAGTCATTGATTGGAGTTGAACCTGACATCTCTCTTTGTGGCACTCCCTTCCTACCAGGTGATCTATGCGCTCGATGTTTAACTTTTATCCACTTTTTACGAGTTCGTATACCATGAGATCATCTCACGGTGAGCATCATGCGCTACCCTCAAAACGACGTAATTTTGCACATTTTTTTAAAAAAAAATCGTGTGAACAGTAGAAGTGGAGACGTTCGTCTCCATGAACTGCCTCCTGCTTCCCGCCAGGATCTTGGCTTCCTGCCAAGGAGTGGAGACGTTCATTCCCATGAGCTTTCTTCCTGCCTCCCGCCAGGATCTTGGCTTACTGCCAAGGCGTGAGGACGTTCGTCCCCATGAACTTGCCTCCTTTGTCCTGCCAGAATCTTGGCTTCCTGCCAAGGGGTGGGGACGTTCGTCCCCATGAGCTTGGCTTTTTAATTAATATGATGTCGTTTTAGGACCGACACACCATGCAAATGGTGGGCCGATCCTACGGTATAATTTGCGCTTTTTACTAAGATTGTGATTGATATACGAAGAAAGTGAAAGGTAAATAAATATCATACTTCATGCGTAGTATATGGTATTGTTAATTACGAATCCCTTTTGGGCATGTGATATCAAAGGAAAGCACCACACAATAAAAAAAAGTGTAATATACATAAATATTGTGAAATGACCGTTTGTGATCTAAAAAATACTTCAAACCCCTCATGTTAAAATTAATCAAACACACATTCCCCAATTAAAGGAGCAGTTATTAACAAACTAGAAGAATATAGTATAATACTTCATAAATTGTTTTGTAAAGTCAACATTTTTTTGTCAACTAATGTTTAACCAAAACCCTCCATATTAATAATTAACTTAAATTTAATAATTAAAATTTACATACTCAGAAATTAAAGTGTCTATAAAGTCACAAAATAGAACTTTAAATTTAATTAAGAATGAGTTTGATCCAAAAAAGTTAATTTGGGACGGAGGGGTAGAAAAAAGGGAAAAATACCCCAATATTAGTAAAACTTAAGACTTTTCCTAAAACTAGTCTTTCACCCGTGCGTTGCACGGGATTACGAATTATGAAATAGTTTAGAAATCACTTGAGTTTTCCCAGTCAATAAAATAAATTAAAATTCACATCGTTGACTATATGCAAGTGTACGCAGTATCAAGTAATTTGTATGTTATATTTTAATATGTATCAATATAGTAGTCCTATAAAAAAATCAACATGTATAAAAATTGAGTTTACAAATAGGACTCTTCCAACTTATCCTCACGCATATAGGGACTTAATAAATACATCAATAAGAACTTAATAAAGATGTTAATACTAAAACAATCAAAAGAGATTTTTGTAATATAGCAACAATTTATATCAACCATAAATATATTTCATTAAGGTGAGATTTGTACAAAATTGATCTCATAACTCATGAAAAAGTTTATGATTATAGTGATAAATCACATGCTCTCTCGAAGCTGCAATAAGAAAAATATGACATATGTTAGTTGAATAAAGTAAAGAACTATATCAAATTCATAATCATCTCATACAACTAAAAGAATACAAAAACAATGCTGATAAATGATACAAAGTATGTGAAATGAAATATCAGTGTGTTTCAATAAAGATTGTTGATAATAATTCGAAAAAATGAAACTGTTAAATGCCTTGTTTCTTAAGACTGAGCACTAATTACTTGTAAGATTTGACAAAGTAACATTGATGAATAATATCTATCAAATAAGATTGTTGAGAAATAATATACCTACTTAAATTGGTATCACCAAGCCTTGAAGTACCTATCAATTAATAACCTTTATTAGATAATTTAATGAAAGAAGAGTTACAATGAAATGAAAATTAATATTACGAATAACATTAGTCGAGAAATTAATTTATAGACTAAAGTCAACGAAACATACCTTATTATTAGAAGGATGAATGATTTAGTCCAAATTTCTAAAAACCTCCTTATAAACAACATTGGTTGTTGAGTTTGTAGAACGACCATCTTTATCACATATTAAGATCTTCAAACCTTCACGCTTTGTAACTCTAGAGACTCCAACATATAATTGTCCATGTGTAAAAACTGGGTTT